ATCTCTACATGATAAAATCATTAAATACAAACATTTAATGTCTCCACATGACAAAATCATTAAATACAAACATTCACTGTCTCCACATGACAAAATCATTAAATACAAACATTCACTGTCTCCACATGACAAAATCATTAAATACAAACATTTAATGTCTCTACATGATAAAATCATTAAATACAAACATTCACTGTCTCCATATGACAAAATAATTAAATACAAACATTTACTGTCTCCACATGACAGAATCATTAAATACAAACATTCAATGTCTCTACATGATAAAATGATTAAATATAAACATTCAAACATTCCTAAATGTTTCCCAGCTGGCATTATACGTCACAGCTAAATGAACTTAAACAATCACAAAGTCAATTGTGTATCAACTATCTGAAATAAAATCGATAAATACAAACGTTCACATTCCTAGTTGTTTTTCAACTTGCGCTGCGGCTTAGCTAAATGAATCTGCTGACTTACAACGCTAGAAACCGGGTTTCGATACCCGTGGTAGGCAGAGCACAGATAGCCCATTGTGTAGCTTTGTGCTTAACTACAAACAACAACAGCTGAATGAAGTCAAACAATCACAGAGCCATTTGTGCCTATTTGACATAACAAAATCAATGAATATAAACGTTCATATTTATTTTTGTTTCTCAACTGGCGCTACGAAATAGTTATATGAATTCAAACAATCACACAGCCGGTTGCGTATCAACTATTTGACATAACAAAATCAAAAAACGTTCACACTCCCAATTGTTTTTCAACTGGCACTGTAGCATAGCTATGTGAGTTTAGTCATTCAGAAAGCTAGTTGTGTTTCAACTGTTTGACATAACAAAATCAAGAAATAGAAACGTTTCACACTCCCTGTTGTTTCTAAACTATAGAATGATACACAATGACACCGTCGTAACTGACAAGGCAACTATATAATAAAGTATTCCTCCATGTTTATGTTTTAACTGACTGTTTATTACAACTAAAGAATAACACACAACTAAGGAGTTTCTTTGACGTAGTATCTTAACTGTTGTTTTTAACAGAAATAAATAGGATGTCCGGAATTTATAGTAAACAAGTGTTCCTTCGTGTTTCGGAGACAAGAGGCTTGAGCCTCTGCTACAGTGTGTACTACAAAAATTCCATTAGAGTAACGAAATCACATTGCAGTATTCATGGAATATCAAGATAGCGTGATATGGTCTTAGCTGGAGTCTCGATGCATTTGGAAATTAATATTAATAAATTCGTTAACATAATCTTCCGTAGTCCCCCATTAAGGAAAAACATTTTAACGTCCATTTTTAACACTTTTTGATTTATTAATTAACAAAAATAGTGTACAGTCACTGTTATCAATTCTTAATTGTTCTACAGTATGACTCTTTAAAAACACACTCTTTTGAATAGTTTTTTTTTGTAATAATCAAAGCGAATTAACGACACATTAACTTTTCCATTAACGCATGATTTGTGACACTTGAACTTAGGTAAGTACTAACATATTTATTAATGACCAACTCAAATGGTTATTGTGAATACTTCAGTAATTGTTTCAGATTATTATTATTATTGATTTCTCGAAACAGGTTTTAAAAATGGTTTTGGCATAAATATATCTGTTCACTAAATAATTATGGACAATGGCATAATACTATAGTAAGGAAAAGTAAAACAATTATCATGACTAGCAGGTTGTGTTCTGTAAATAACGTTGTTTTATAGCTATTGTATAATTTTATACGAGCAAGAAAACTCCTGATATAAAAGAATAGAGTTAATCTGTAGGATTTTGAACATACAAGCATTTTTTTTCATTTGGTTTTCTATGTATCTTACTGTAACAGGAACCTACCTGTCAATTGATATAGCCATCAAGGTGAAGACGCTCGCAGACACAGAGACAATGGCGATAAAGTTGGATATTTTACAATAGGCCCAACCAAAGGGCCAATCTGTGTTCAACATGTAGGTAAAATTGAATATGACATTCAGAGTAGATACCATGGTGTCTGCTAAACTAAGATTGACGAGGAAGTAATTGGTGACTGTTCTCATCTGTTTGTGAGCTAGGACTATCCAGATGACGATCAGATTGCCACCTGTGGCCACCAGTACCATACCTCCGAACACTAAGCTCCAGAGAGTCTGTTTCCACCAAGGTAGGATGAAAACGTTTTCATGAGGAATATCTTCCATCAGGATGTCAGAAATGTTTTCAGAGGTGGAATTTTCCAAGAATGTCCAGTTAGCCATTGTGGACGTTATTCGTTGAATGCTTTCTACTCGAGAAATAAGTGTTAATAATGAAGCTTAGTTTTCTCTGTATTTTAGAAGATTAGCGTTGTTTCGGGCTGATTAAGAGGCATTATAATATTCTAGATATAAAATAATAAGTTTCTGCTGGTTATACACGAACTGATTCGGTCAGGTAATGATATTTTTTGCTCCACATTCAAGTTCTTCTTTATGGCGAACAGTTTTTTTTTAAACGCTGTCTAGTCTACTTGGACTCAGTACTATAACTGCTATTCTTCGTGATCAAGTTTAAAGACGAACAACTCTGTAAGTGACCTTGGAGGCAGACCGGATTCCACAACCTCTATGTGACTAGAAAGCGAAGAACTTGTCTTCTGGGTCTCCTAAATGTTTTTAGTGGCACGCGCAAACTCAGATGGGTTGAAGTTCGACCCAATTATACGTCAGGTTTCGTCGCAGCTGAAGTTGTTCATTAATGCCTTCTCTTTCTCGCAATTGAAAGCCCGCCCTAGACCATTAAGAGCGGAAGCAGACACAGGAAGCTCAGTAGCTGAACATACTTGTTATCAAAGACAGTTAAGAGGTATAAAAATGTGTAAATTGAAGTCATTTCTCTGACAAAGTCCGTATTACTCAGTTCGCGATCTATTTCTATATTCTAAAATTAAGAATATTGTCAATGAAGATGATGATGACAATATACTAATATACGTTCTCAGGAAAGAAGCCAAATAGTTTAGGGTATTTACAAACGTATTGAAAAGACCCCCCCCCTCGCCCTACTGCTCTATTCGAAAAATTAATAGGTGAAGCATATTTTACAGCCGATCATAGCAACAGACTTGGAAATAAGAAAATAAAGAGTCGCTTTATTGTTTGTCTGGAATTCAATACAAAGCTACACGGTTATCGAAACCCGGTTTCTAGCGTTTTAAGTCCGCAGACATACCGCTGTGTCATTGGGGGGGGGGGCAAAATTAAATACATAAAAGGCCTTTTTGTGGGACACATATACGATGAAAAAAAATACCTGAGTATTTATAATAATATTTACATTCGTATTCTAAATTATTGTCCAAAAATTTTGAAGCTAAATAGACAACAATTAAATAAACAAATATATTAGAAATAGTAATCGAATGATTATGTGTGATTCAAAAAATGTGCTTAATTATTATCATTTACATAGTCAGTGATTAGTTGTGAATAATTATTTTATTGTGTTAAAGTTTAGACATGCAAATGCCATGGTAGTTTATCTTTTTCCTATCGCTTAGGCACAATAACGACTGATTAGGGCATGGCATTAATATTTAAAACTAGTCATTTTTGTTTACTTGTAACTTTGATATCTAGGACTAGTTAGGCTTGACTACTTTTGACTTTAATATTTAGACACAGTCTTGAATGGTAAGTTGACGACTTGAATATTTAGGACTAGTGATGCTTAATCACTTGAAACTTAATTATGTAGATACTGCCTTGAATGATCAGTTAATGCCTTTAAAATTTATTTGCAGTTGTGTAGGAAGAAGTTGCTTGGCTAGACATACAGATTTTACAAAGCAGAGATTGAAAGTATAAGGAGTTGCTGAAAGATGCTTCCGTGCTGCCAAATGCAGCTCAATCAAAGGAGTAAGGGGACATGCCCCCATAAAATTAATACAATAATATTATTTACAGTTGCTATATAAGTCAAATATGTAAGAGTAGGAGTGTTACAGCACCCCCAGAACCTTTGGTTCTGACGCCTCTGAGTTGTATAATAAAACATTATTACATAATCTTAATATTTATATAGAATCCTAAATGGTAAGTCGGCGACTTTAATATTTAGGAAAGGTCATGCCTGGTTACTTTTAATTCTAATATTTAGATACAGTCTTGAATGGGCGACTAATGACTTAGATAATTAGGTATGGCCATCACAGATTAATACATGATCTTAACATATAAATGCAATCTTGTTTTTAATATTAACGTTTAGGCGCGGTCATTACTGAGCAATGTATAGCCTTTTTGATTAGATTCATACATGCCTGGTTATTCAAAACTAGCTTTTGGGCATAACAATGTCTGGATGGTAATAACTAGTGTTTGGGTATAACAATGAATGGTCAGTCATGATAAACTTTCGGTCATGAATAGCTTTTGGGTATAACAATACTTGGTTGGTAATAACTAGTTTTTGGGTATAACAATGAATGGTCAGTCATGATAAGATTTTGGGTATAATAATGCTTGGTTAGTCATAACTGTCTTTTGGATATATCAATGAAAGTCTGCCATTACTAGCTTTTGGGTGTAAGATGCCTGCCTAGTTGGCCACGACTAGCTTTTGGGTATAACAATGCATGGTTGGTCGTGACTATATTTGCGTGTAACATGCCTGGTCAGTTACGGTTTTAGCTTTTAGATGTAATCATTGCAGGTCTGTATACATACTTAATACTTAGGTATTCTTGACTATTTATTTTGTGCCCTTTATATTTGGATACAATCATCATTGGATAATTCATTGTATGGTCATTATTTCTTAATGTTCCACACTATCATTTTAATTTTGCTAGTGTCATTTATCATTTTAATTTTGATTGTGTCATTTATCATTCTAATTTTGATAGTATCACTTATTTTAATTTTGATAGTATCACTTATTTTAATCTTGATAGTATCATTCATCATTGTAATTTTGATTGTCACTTATCATTTTAATTAAAATGATAAGTGATACTATCAAAATCAAAATGATAAATGACAATCAAAATTAAAATGATGAATGACACTATCAAAATTAAAATGATGAGTGACACTATCAAAATTAAAATGATAAGTGACACTATCAAAATTAAAATGGTAAGTGATACTATCAAAATTAAAATGATAAGTGATACTATCAGAATTAAAATGATAAATGACAATCAAAATTAAAATGATAAGTGACAGTCAAAATTACAATGATAAATGACACAATCAAAAGTTTGATGGTATCACTTATCATTTTAATTTTGATAGTGTCACTTATCATTTTAATTTTCATATTTTATATTTAAGTGATAGCGGGGAACAAGTTTAAAAGGAAGAAATCTTTGTGATTAAAATAACGTAACTCATGTATCTATGTAATTGTTAAATAAACGGTTAAGTTGTATTAAAATATTTTACATTTAACCATAGAAATGAATTAAAACCCTATAACTCGAGTGCTTTCGAAAGGTGGACCTTTCTTCTTCAGGAGCAAACCAGGCATGTTACATTTAACCCTAATTCTACAGCGACACTATCTGGAAAAAAAAAAAACGCTAATCAAAACGTCGTGATTCATTACATATACAAAAAATATGTGCTACATTTCGTTCTTGGTTTAAATGTTTTAATACATGCGCCTATCAAAGTCTCAATAATTATCGTAAACAATATTTACACCGGGGTAATTTACACCCGCTCATTGTTTTATGAACCAACAATTGTGTTCTTCACATTTGTACATTTTCATCACAGACCAAGTTGCTTACCCAGGAGAAACCAATGCCAAATTCTGTTATTACAAAGCATATAGCAAATCATACGTTTTTCGACATTTAAACTAAAGTTATGCCAGTAATTACTGTTTATCACGCCATGATCTTAATGTTTACTCATTTTTACACAAGGCTAATTGATCGAAACTATTGTGTTGAAACACATGCACTTGAAGAGGGTATACAATTTCTAAACTGCCTATGGCAGTATAATGTCATTTTTGTTTAAACCATAGTTATAACGCTAGGGTAAAGTAACGCTGGAAAACAGGTTTAACGAGGTGCAACTTTCTTTTTTTTGGGGGGGGGTGTTAAACTGAATAGTAGACGAATGTATGTACTTTTTATGAATATTGCCAAAATTTTATTATCAGTATAGCTCAAGGCACTAAACGGAGCTTTAGTAATTAAAATCATTTAAAGATTACGTGAAACTCCTTAAGTTAACAAATTATGCAAACCAGAAAACTGGCGTTTTGGTTAGGCCTCTGAAAGATAGGAATTAAGATACTAATGTTTTTATTACCTTAATTGAGTTTATATATTTGTTTCTGCTTTGTATCCCTAGACATTAAACAACTTCATTATCTAATAAGTGTTATGCCTGATTACAATATATCCAATATCACTTTGAATTTGGCGCAAAGCTACACGAGGGTTATCTGCAAATCGTCCCTAAGTTAGACTAGAGAGAAGGCAACTTGTCATCGCCACCTAGAGGCCACTCTTGGACTAATCTTTTACCAACGAATAGTAGGATTGACCGTCACATCATAACGTCCCCACGGCTTAAAGGACGAGCATGTTTGGCGGGGCTGGGATTCGAACCCGCGATCTTTAGATTGCGATCAAGCACCCTAACCACCTGGCCATGCCGGGTCCAGTATTACTTTCTAATAATACAATTATATTTGACTATTTAATATTTAAACTTTTTATAACTTGAAGGCTTAGGCAAACTAGTTTCAATCGGTACTTTAATTTTTTTTTCTTAACAACATATCACACAGATAAATATATAAATAAAAAGAATTTCTTCACCTAGAGATATATAAAATATTGTGAGTAATATTCCCTATTATCAACCAATTCCAAATTATTCTTTTTTTTCCAGATTTAGAACTGCAGTTTTCGGATGGTGATAGTATGGTTTTATTCCTCACTGTGATTTACTATATTTCGAGTTACCAGAGACAAAACTCTAAAGTAAGATGTTTAGGAAGTCTTTCGAGTGACTAACCCGAATTACGTATGTCTCAGAAGCAATAAATGACAACTATATAAAGAAGGATTTATACGATACCGCGGAATAATGAAGAAAATGTTATCCAGTTCCTCTGTATTTACCATGTAGTTATGTATAACGAGCTTTATATAAAAGCGTTCTTATCATGAAATACTGTACTCCCTTCAAAGAAGTTTCAATGTAAGGAAGCAAAATGTACTTAAAGAAGCAGGTAATAAACATTTATTGTTAACGGTTTCTTTAAAGCCCAAACACAGTATTATAAAGAAAACAATGATCTGAGCAAAGTATCACGTTAATTGATCTTCCCGCTTCCAGCGATCCGTGTTCTGCATGAAGGTGAGTTGCTCTAATGGATTCTAGCAGTATAGATAGTTGTTCAGCCTGAATATTTGGTTTTAACGTCACCATGTTTATATCCTTCTTGTTTCTTTGAAAATAGTTTTAGCAAATCTAGCTTAATTTTACTTGTGGTGTATTAGGAATCAAATTGTTTTAAAAAGTTAAATCGAAACAGTAAGGCTTACATAAGATCCAATAGATCTTCACAATTTGAGTTTTGAAATTTTTAATGTGTTTATGAGTGTAAACTGTTGCAAAT